TATTATTATTATACAAATACATTTCCCTGAACCTTATGATACTTTATGATTTTTAGATTTTAGTAATTTTAGGAAAGCTAAAAAAAAACCCTAGCATGGAAGTCAAGTGTATGAAGTCTGAAATACCAAGGCATTTATGTTCAGTACTTAAAGACTTAAAGTTTTCAAGCAGGACTTCCGGCGCAGCCGCTATGGCTAACTGCTGATCCCATGGTAGCGGATGCCAGCCGTGCAGTTAATTAAGGATAATTTGGAAGCAATTATCCTTGCAAGCCCCCCTCTGGTCGGGGGGGGGGAGCTTTCTCTCTCATCTGATAACTGCTTCTCGCTCCGATGGAATGTGGGGACAGGGATGCAGAGGGCATAGCACTGCACGTCTTGGAAACTCCCCAATACAGTAGTCATGAGTAGAGGTATCTCTGTTTCTTTTAAGAAGTATCTGAATTTGGACTTAAGAAACAGACATGTTTTGGAAGGAGGAGAAAGATAACCTGCGAAATGAATCAGCCACTGAGTGCTAAGGTTTTGATCCAGAGAGGATTCTTGTTATCGTAACTGGAATGCTACGTAAGTGAAGGAGCCTTTGTTCTCTTTATACATTATTTTTGCTGTGCTATGAATCGGCAAGCCTTCACTGAAAAAAGAATCAATTATTAACGGAATGAAATTACAGTGGTATCTCAGGTTACATACGCTTCAGGTTACATACTCCACTAAGCCAGAAATAGTGCTTCAGATTAAGAACTTTGCTTCAGGGTGAGAACAGAAATCGGGCTCTGGCGGCGCGGCGGCGGCAGCAGCAGGCCCCATTAGCTAAAGTGGTGCTTCAGGTTAAGAACAGTTTCAGGTTAAGTACGGACCTCCGGAACGAATTAATTACTTAACCCGAGGTACCACTGTACTAATGGATTACAACTATACATGGAATGCAAGAGGGATTCAACAAGAACTTATAATTTTCTTTACGGAGTGCTTGAAAGAACAGACTGTGTGAAATACTGTGATGATTTGTAACATTGCCAACTAAAGAGAGCTCTAGTTCTGATTTACTATGGTTTTGGTGAGACGCCAGTCGTTAGAAGAAGCAAGGAGAGAAACACTGGAAGTTAACCAGAAGTCGCGGCCGGACGCTGGAGTGCTTTCAGTTCAGAGAGGCAAAATGGAGCTGTGGGGTGCTTACAAATGAGTTTTGGAAGGAGGGGCAATGTGGAAGAAAACTGACTGATTACAACATGAAGGAAAAGAAGGTAAACAAATATTTCACACAGCTAAAGGATATAAATTCCCACTGCAAGTTATTGGATTTGGATTTATTAAACACGATCGAAAGTTATCACATCAGTGGCTGCTGGAACAAAGGATTAAGATCAGAATTGTGGAATTAGGGACTAATTAAGAGAATTTGTGCAGGACCAAGGAATGACATCAATGATAGCCAGAACATGGGAAGTTTATGTTTAATTCGGAACTGTTTAATTGGCTTTTTTATTGTATTGTGATTTGGCATAATTTGGCATTGCATTAATGTGGCCTCCATTGCATTGTTATTAATGAAAAATAAAATTATTTTTTAAAAATAAAGTTTTCAAGCAAAGCTTGCCTACTATAGGACGCTCCCCCTCTAAAACAAGGTGCGTTTAAGGTGCATTCACCTTAAGGTGCATTCACCCAAAGCCTCTGGAGTTCCCGCTGCGCTCTGGAGGCTTCAGGCGGCTACCTTGGAAGCCTGGAGAGCGAGAGGGGTTGGTGCGCACTGACCCCTCTTGCTCTCTAGGCTTCAGTGAAGGCAACCCAAAGCCTCTGGAGCGCGGGGGGAGTTCCCGCTGGGCTCCGGAGGCTTCAGGTTCCTTTTGACCTGCTCTTTTGGGGCTGGTGGCTTTCCCCCACCGCCAGCCTCAAAGATCCCTGAAGCCTTTGGAGAGCAGCGCGAGGTCCCGCGAAAAATGCAGTAACTGGATGAGGGCAATACATGTATTGCATTCACTGAGCTGGTCATTCCTGCCTGTGGCAGGCTGAGGGCACCCAGACCCTCTCCTCCTCCTTCATTGGCCCTTTGGGTTTTCATAGACTTCATCCCTGGGGGTGGGAGAAACACACAGGCTGCTGCATCCTGCAATCTGTCCTGCAGCTCTGGATGAGGGGGAAGAAGTGGCAGGAAGCACAACTGGGCCACCAGAGGATATTGCCGTTGGATTCCTCCCCGAGTTGGGAATACAGTCATACCTCGTGTTGCGTTAGGTTCATGTTGCGTCTTTTCGCCTTGTGAACGCGGCAAACTCGGAAATGTATACAAGCGGGTTTTACCGCTTGTGTGTGCACATAAATGTTCTGCACACTTTGCACATGCGCAGAAGCACTCTATCACACTGCACGCGTGCACAGAAGCAGCGTTCTACTTACGGACTTTTTGGGATGCAAATGGCACCCTGGAACGGGTCAAGTCCATAACCAGAGGTACCACTGTAATCTGGTCAGCACTGGAGCTCCTGTGTTGTGGAGGATGCTGCCTCCGCGACACAAGGGTGGTCCCATCCCTTCTGGAACATCTTTAGGAGACTGCTTCCTAGCCCTGGAGGGCAAGACACCCCAAAGATCAAATGTCAATGTGCTTGTTTCTAAGTTAATGTTTAAAGTATAATAAAAGTATGAGCAGTTCTGCTGTCAGAACTGCTCATACTAAGTTAATGTTTAAAGTATAATAAAAGTATGAGCAGTTCTGCTGTCACAATTAGTCCACTGAACCACATTACCCTGTAATACGGTATAAAAGAATTTTATATGTTGTAGCATTAAGAGAGACATCTGAGAAGGATGGGATGTTTTATAGTTTGAGTAGTACAAGTTTTTACTTTGAGGCAAAACCATTATATATGCATTACATTTCCCTCAAAGGCCAAATGCAATTATTTTGCCTTAAGCTAAGTGAGTAAAGGCAAATATGTGAAAACATATTTAAATGAAGCTGAAAACTGTTAAGAGGCTTTGCATTGTTTTTATCTATAGGGATGCTTTTTTCCATACAAGAATGAACTTTAGCTGTTCATTATAGAAAACTTGCTAATATACATTGTTCACTTTGATATGTGGATACCGCCATATATGCAAAAACTATGTGCACATCAGCAAATCTTTACTGAAATAGTTTTTTAAAAAACTCAATAATACGCCTCCTTTCAATCACTACATTTCAATCCTACATGAACAATTCAAAGCAAAGTCTTAGAAAACATTGCAATGCTTTGTGCAAAACCTGAAGCTGAAAAACATTTAATAGAAGTAGAAAACTCATCTACTGGTAGTTCCATTTCAATGACCTCCCCCCCTCCCCCATATATGTCTATTCAACAATTATTTATAGACAATCAAATGCTTAATGCCTCATTGGACTTATATTTGTAATGAACTGACTAGATCTCAAAAAAGGATACAACTGAATTAGAACATCCATACATACATATGTACATAATTTTATTTGTAGGCCACCTTTCCATGCTAAAACCATGCTCAAGGCAGCTTACAACATGAAAAAAACCCCCAAAACATAACAAAAGTAGCTGTAAGCAGTAACTAAAACATAATACAAAATCAAACTGAACGATTTCCACATAAATCAAAAAATCTGAAATATTCAAAAAATCAACAGCAACAATCCCCCCCCCCAAACCCCAACCACCTGTGTGTGTCCCTGCCCCTCAGACAGTTGCAGATGATTTGAAAGAGATTTTTCTGTTCACAATGCATAGACTCATTCTGCTTTCCCCAGTGGTAAACAGGTTCTGGAGATGTGTGTTCTGTTTCAAAACACTGCCAAACCTGTTTGACCAGAGGTAACAGAGGGACAAAACAAAACTGTACATAGTCGAGGGCAGCAGTGGGGGGACAGGACTCTCAATTCACTTTCCCAGTCTAGGAAATTAACAGAACACCTTTGGGGCTGAAGTTTGATCTTGGGAAAGGGAATGATACCAGAGCCTAAGACACAATGTGCCATTCGTCCCCAAGGGCTTCAACACACTCACTGTGCATTTTTCTATCCTGCCCCCACCCTGGACCCTGTACAATCTACTTCTGAACATCCTCTTGCTTCAAAGGATTCCCATGAGGCAGACCGTTAAAGAAAGTGTTTAGTTTTGCTTTCATTGAACCTTGGCTTATTATTGAGCTATGGGATATAACAAACTCTGGTTAGTGTAACAAATCAGCTTCATAAAGCTTTGTAAAGTTTGGAGGGGCCCCAAGGGTCATCTAGTCCAACCCTCTGCAATGCAGGAATTTCAGCTAAAGCATTCAAGACAGATGGCCATCCAGCCTCTGCTTACAAACCTCCAAGGGAGTCCACCACCTCCCGAGGGAGTCCGTTCCCCTATCAAACTTAACTCAAGTCTGAACTTGGCTTGTTGTGAAACTGACCCACTTTTATTATAAGAGATGAACCCTGGTTCACCCACAGTAATAAGTCAAGATGGAAGGAAGGTGAAACTCAATGCCGTTCCATGTGATTGCATGGGAGAAGGACAGCAGTGTGGGCTTGCGGGATAGATATCATATACGGTGGTTATGATACGGTGGTTAGCCTCTTGTTACGTGCTTATTCTGTTTATTTCTATTATATTATAAAAATACACTATGTATAATGCCTATAGAGCAATGTCTGCTACTTTTATTGTAATTCGAATGAGGTACAGTGGTACCTCAGTTTACAAACTTAATCCGTTCCGGAAGTCCGTTCTTAAACTGAACCCATTCTTAAACCGAGGCACGCTTTCCCTGATGAGGCCTCCTGCCACCCTTCCACCATTTGGCTTCCATTCTTAGACCAAGGTAAAGTTCACAAACCAGGACACCAGTTCGTAAACCGGACTGTTCTTAAACTGAGGTACCACTGTACTAAGATCCTAATTTTAGCACAGAGGAGGCCTATCCACAGGCTACGTAACTCAAAAAATGCAAATTTGCTTTCTGCAACTGTTTTAGTTTGACAAAGAATGAGCCTAAGATATTTTTGGAAAAGTTATATATTTACAGTTTTATTTGTATGCAGAGTTAAACAGCAAACAATCTTAACACTGTAGGTGAAAAGTGTATTTACCCCCCAAATCACCAAAGCGAATAAATTATTTAAAGAATTTTTGTGTATTAATAAGGCAATAATCCTAGGTGGCCCATTAAAAGTCTTGCTAACTCTCCAAATACATAACTGAGCAATCCAGCAGAAAATGTACGAATGATAGGTTCGTATTATCTCCCCAAAAAAACCCTTCAAGGACAGAAGCAGTAAGAGACTTCAATTCCTCTAAGACCTGCAAAGAAAGGTATTCCTAGAGCATATCAAGGTAAGATGACAGGAATAATCTTCAAATGAACATTCAGTGCTTCAGCTTCAAGGATGCTGTGTCCACACACAATGGTAAATACACAAATATGGGCAGCACAAAGCGGCACATGAAAAAGTTAGAATTTTTTCCATTCCATGTCATCTGGAGGATTGACTTCTACTTTCCTTTTACCCACATCAGACCAGTTTGTGCTCAAAACTGTCCCACCAGACTCCATCTGAAACAGGAAAACACACATTTGTCAATTATTTAAAAAAAGGAATAATCCAAGAATCAAGTAGACTGAGTTCTGCAGGCGAGAAGGAGACACAGTGGCCCAGTCACTAAGCACTGAACTAAGAAGTTCAATGCACCCTTCCACCTGCAAAATAATTTCCTATTATTTCATGGTTCTCCAACTCTCAGAAACAGCCATATCTGCATCACAGGAGGTTGGACCATGCGGTCCTTGGTAGGGTTCCTTCCAACTCTACAATTCTATGGCAGGCTTCCTTGTCAAAGGGTATTGATGTTACATTTGCAGTCATAATAAATTAAACACAACTCAGAAAATCTCATGTTAACTTACAAAAGATTTGTTCATGGCACGTTTCACTTCATCTGTGCCATCAGAGTATATCTGCTGGAACAGTTTATTTAAAGCTGCATCCCCCTCCAACTTTTCATTCTTCTCTTCTTCTTTGATCTCAACTACTAATTTGTCCCAATTCCTTGTATAATGAGAAGATGAAGGATAAAGGTGTGTTGCATCTGAAACTTGAAAATGGAGAGAACAGATTGATCCCAACAATATATCACAGCTTATCACAGATGAACAGTGGTGGACTTTAGCATGTACAGACTGAAAAGAAGGCAACAGCTCCAAATAACTGAGTTTACTGAAGCATGTATTTCCCTCCGCATTCCTTACTCAAACAGGACCATAAAAGCCAGAGCAGGGGCAGGCAATCTTTTCTAATTCAAAGGCTATGGGTCCTTGTGAGTTCTCTTCTCAGGAACTACATGCCCATGATGAGTGGGGCTGAAACCACACACCTTTCTCCTACATACATATATCCATTGAGGTTCTCTTTCTCGCACCCCCCCCAATAATATATATCTGTTTGGCCTCTCTCCCACACCACAAACACAATCAATCCTCTAATCCAAAACTTCCCAGTCTTCCAACAATGGGCTACATAATGCAGAAGAGGGAACAAAAGAGGACAGCTTTTGTTCCACAGCAGATTCATGCTGGGCTCTACCAAGCACTCAGTTCACTTACAAATGTCACTCTACACACAAAAGCCAGTGAAAAGTTCTGTTCTACTTTTTCATTCTCTACCTGTGCTCCTTCTCTCCCCACCCCATGAACATAAGAGCAGCCTTGTGGATCAGACCCATCGAGGGCAGCATCCTGTTCTCACAGAGGCTAACCAGGGGCCTATGGGAAGCCTGAAAACAGGCCTTGAGTGCAACATCGCTCTCCTCACCTTTAATTCCCAGAAGCTGGTATCCAGAGACATACTGCCTACCAACAGTGGAGGTAAAACTTGGCCATCACAGCTGACAGCCATTGACAGCCTCAGCCGCTGTGAATTTGCCTAATTCTCTTTTGACGCCTTCCAAGTTGGTGGCCATGACTACCTGCTTGTGGAAGCAAATTCCACAGTTTAACTATGTGGTGTGTCTTTTCTTTTGCTTGTCCTGGTTTTTCCAACATTCAGTTTCATTGGATGCCCACAGGTTGCCGTGTTATGAGGGTGAAAAATCTCCCCCCACCCACTTTCTCCATGCCATGCATATTTTAAATATGCTTAGCATGCCTCCTCTTACTTTCCTTTTCTCTAAACCAAAAACCCCAAATGTCTTCCTTCACAGGAACCTTCCCACCTTTCCAATAACTAAAAGAAGCATTCACATAAGAAATGACGAAATTATATTATGAGGCATCCTGCATTTGCTGGATCTGGGAATAGATAATTTTGAAAAATGGAGACATTTTAGATTTAGAAGGACATGATAACAGATTTGCATGGCATGCATACTTATGGTATGAAAGCATCACATAATAAGAAAATCCATTTTTAGGGTATAGGAGAAATATAAAGACATTAGAACAAAAAACACTGCGGTGGCTCTCCCCATTAGAAGCAATATCTTTGAAGAAAATTGAACATATATAGAGCTGTTAACCGAAGTAGAAAAACAGGTAAAGTTAAAAGACTCTGAAGAGATAAGAGAACTGGTAACAGACTGGTTACAGTATCATCAATTAAATGATATTTTAAAGACAGATAAAAAGAAAGGTTTTAGTTATGAGTTATCAAGATTTCAAAAAAGATGTTTTAGAAAATAATATAGCCTGGTAGAGGCTATGGAAAACAGATTTGAAATTCATGGCATGTTGTTCACTGAAAGAAAATTACATAAAAATGATGTACCGATGGTATTTGACTCCTGTTAAGTTAGCAAAAATGTACAGAACAAGCACAATTACTTGCTGGAAATGTAAAGAAAAAGAAGGTACCTTTTATCATATGTGGTGGACGTGCAAAGTAACAAAAAAATTATGGGAGATGCTATATAATGAAATGGAAAAAATGTTTAAAATAAATTTTGTTAAAAAACCAGAAGCTCTCCTATTAGGAATTATAGGTACCGAGATACCAAAGGACCAGAAAATAATGTTTATGTATGCAACAACAGCCACACAGATACTATTAGCCCAGAGATGGAAGGAAGAGACAACCCTGACCAGAGAAGAATGGCAAACCAAGTTGATGGACTATGCCGAAATGGCAAAATTAACTGGGAAGCTCAGAAACCAAGAAGATAAGAACTTTAAAAAAGAATAGGAAAAGTTTATAATTTATTTAAGAGACCACTGCAACATTAAAACATTAGCAGGATTTTAACCACACTTGTAAAGTAACAGAAAGTATGGATAATTTAGAAGGATAAAAATTTGGATAATATTGATATGCAGTTATAAATATTGTCATTAGGACCCAGGGAAGGGATGGGGGAAAGTCATGAGATTCAGAGTAATCTCGATATTTGGATTTTGAATTGTTTTTGTTGTATGCTTATAATTTTGAAAATCAAATTTTAAAAACTGCTTTTACAAGTTAAACATCAATTATGACACATCAAGCAAAGACTATCTCAAGCTCTTCTCTTCTCAAGAGAGGAAAGAGGAAAGAGAAGAAGCTTACAAGCCAGGAATCAATTCAAGACACCTACATGGGACTACCCTTGAAGATGGTCAGGAAACTGCAACTAGTACAGAATGTTACTGCTAGAGTTTGGGCAGGTGCTCCCATGGGAAGCCACGTGTCACCAGATCTGTTCTGGCTCCCTATATGATACCAGGCCCAATTCAATGTGTTGATGCTGGCATATAAAGACTTCTTGTCCATGGGGTCATGAAGAGTCGGACACGACTAAACGACTAAACAACAACAACCACCTGGACACTTGGTGGTGAGTCTTCCTGTTTCAGCCAGTACAAGCCTTGAGATCCACTTGTGGAGAGGGTGGTTGGTCACAGGGCTACTGGCAAGTATTGCTTGCAATGCTGGACAGGATTGTCTCAGTGACTGTGCCCTGCCTTGGGAATTCTTCCCTCCTAAGGACGTGGGTAGCAATGCTGTTTGTTACTGGCCTTTTATCATCTAGTTAAGACCAGCCAGTTCTCAGCTTCTGGTTTCCTTAATCGCGCAGCTCCCACGACCACAGGAGATCGTTGGTGAAGCAATAAACAAAGATGATAGAGGGTAATTATCTTTGTAAACTCCCCCCAGGGAGTTAATTTTTTACTTGATTGAGGGGAGGAGGGACTGGACTTTGAAGACTTCCTGGGGTTCTAGTGGGACACCAGATCATTCTTTTATAAGTACTTATAATTAATTGCTTCGTTTGGACGTGGAGGGGAGAACTTGGAGGGGAGAACTTGGAGGCTTGCCGGGGCTCTGGCAGGACATTAGGCAACTCCCTGCTTGTAATCGGAAGTATGGAATTTTACAGCTACAATCAGAAGAGTTGAGAACAAAAGAGAGAGACCCCTCCAGAGTCAACAGAGCCGTAAGGCACAAAGGAGATCAGGAATAACTAATATGGACATAATATTTGATAAATAAAGGAACAATTGATGAAAATTAAAACCTCACACAGGAAAAAGAAAGGAGAACTTGCGAATTTACAAATTACTATATGTGTTAATAGGAACTGACGTCAATTATTGTAGCTGTGGTATAAGGGATTTTATCAAGAGTGGATTGTATATGGTTTGAGCAATAGTCTGGAGGCAGAATTAAAGAGAATCAGTAGACCTTGAAGTACAGCATGTCGGAAGCCACACAAATTTTATAATTGGCTATGTAATTGATTTGTATTTGAATTGATATTGCTATTTGGTATTGATAAAATATGGCATTTATTGGATTTTTGTAATTGAAAATTAATAAAATATTGAACAAAGACCAGCCAGTTCTCCCAGGAGGACCCGTTTTGCCTGTCCTGTCCATTTAAGGTTACATTGTTTGGATCTTAAATTGTATCATCATCAACCTTTTATTCGACCGTCAGTCAGAAAAAAGTACATTTGTCAATACACAGTTAAAACATCCAGGAAGATTTTAGAACTTAGCCAACACTAAAATGGGCTAAACAGATAGCCCCATATCAATACAGTCAATTATAGTCTTGCGACGCTTAAAAGCTAAAAAAAGAAATTTGGCCACCAAGGAAGGTATAGCTCTAGTGACATTATTCAGCAAGTGTAAAGCCTGGTTTTCTCCGGGTAGGAAGCTAAATTGACATAGGAGTGGGTCTATAAAATTTTGTCTAAGCTCTGCATAAGAAGGGCAAGTCAAGAGAATGTGTTCGGTGGACTCAACCACACCCATGGCACAATGACAGGTTCTCTGGGCGTATGGTACTCCCCTGTACCTTCCCCACAATATCGCAGAGTCAAGGACATTTAATCTAGCCGCTGTAAGAAGTCTGCGGTATTCCACATAGCGGATTTCTGCAAGGTAGGGGGCTGGTATGGTCCGATAAATCTGGTCCCCTAGGAACATCCCTGGTTTTACCTGGGCTATGTCCTCTTGTCTGGCAATGTCACTCAGTCTCCGGGAGATCACAGCTCTAACTTGATTGTACGTCATAGACTCAAAGTAAAGGTGAGACAATCCGCAGGATTGAACCTCGTTAATGACCTCCTTTTCCCACGATGATTGGAAATCGTCCCTCAATATCAAGGGGGCAATACCCACTGGTTTAAAACAAAGCTTGAGCCATAGCCAGAGCTTCGTCTTCAAGGCCACATACCGTAGAGCTTGCCAGCTGACCTCTAATCTCATAACCGCACCCGCTACCGAGGGAGGAATCCTAAGGATGGCTCTAAGGAATTGTGTTTGAATAGAATCCAGTTTCAAAAAATCCCTACGGGAGCCTAAAGAGATGCCCACCAAAAGAAGGGGGAGGACTTTCATTTGAAAGAGTCTCAAAGCTATCTTCACTGATTGAGCCTGATTCTTAGCATATAGAGATCTAATCTGGATGGCTGCTTTAGATGCATTAGTTGTTATATAGTCTCTATGGGCCAGAAAAGACCTATTTGACCGTATTACTTGTCCCAGATATTTAAAGCAGTTAACCTGCTCTAGGGGGATCCCGTTCATCGGCCATCGATGGAGTCTCGGTCGGGCAGAGAAGACCATGATCTTGGTCTTAGCATAGTTGGGTTGGAGCTCATGCTGAAAATTGTATCTAGTTTTACTCTTTATGGCTGGAAACCACTTTGGGAACAATGGTGAAAGGAACACTAAAAATCTGATAACTAAAATAAAATAATAAATAGGGGGAAAAAGTTTGCATCCTGACCAAAGTAGACTGATTCTCTTCTCTCTGCTACATTACAAGTGATCTTTGAGTAGCAGGACTATAATTTGTTGTTTAATAATGGATAATGATGGCATCCAAGAACAGACCTGTAATCCAATAAGTGATTGTCTCAAACAAAAGAGTGCAATAGTGTGTAGATAAGAGCAAAAGTACAATTTGTAGAACTGAACATGAACATACTAACCAGGCGCAAATTGTTTTAGTTTAGGAGAGCCTCCATGGCCTTCCAATTTCTCCCATCGTACAGCTTCTGGTTTCTTCATTTTTATTTCAATCTACAGAACACACAACAAAAACCCAAATTTTAATGCACTAAATGAGGCCTGTAGTTTTTTTCTGGTGTATTTTTTTAAAAAAAGAAAAATGTTAACTGCCATACCAGTTAAACGTACAATTAAGCTAATTTACAAACTAGCTCAATTTGCTTATCATAAGGTAAAGGTACCCCTGCCCGTACGGGCCAGTCTTGACAGACTCTAGGGTTGTGCGCCCATCTCACTCTAGAGGCCGGGGGCCAGCGCTGTCCGGAGACACTTCCGGGTCACGTGGCCAGCGTGACAAGCTGCATCTGGCGAGCCAGCGCAGCACACGGAAACGCCGTTTACCTTCCCGCTAGTAAGCGGTACCTATTTATCTACTTGCACTTAAGGGTGCTTTCAAACTGCTAGGTTGGCAGGCGCTGGGACCGAGCAACGGGAGCGCACCCCGCCACGGGGATTCGAACCGCCGACCTTTCGATCGGCAAGTCCTAGGCACTGAGGCTTTTACCCACAGCGCCACCCGTGTGCTTATCATAGTAAATGGTTTATTGTGGATGTGCTGATGAGAGCCACTTTGCCCCCCGCATCCAAAAACCAACCACAAGCCCTAGCTGTGTGTTACAGCTGAACCAGGAACTGTGGCTTGTTTTGCTCTAAACAATTATCAGTAAGCCGAAAAACAAACCTAGACTACAGATTGTGGTCTGCTTGGGCAAAATAAGCCACAAATCCTGGTATGTGTTTGTTCACTTGAAGCTGTGCTCTTTAAATTCAGCCTGTACCTTTCTATAGCTCTGTAGAACAATGAGCAACAAAAAAAAGAAGCAGTTGTTGCCTGGGAAGAGCCATAGTAATAGGACGATGTGTGAAAACAAGGTTTTGAAAAACAAATCCTAGGAAGTGTGCTTGAGCATTACTTTTATACTTTTGGCTGAATCACTTTCTCAGTCTGTTAAGCACAGTGGCAACTTGGTGACATTTGGACTTGGTGGGGCTGTAGTTTTTTACCTTGCAGTTCTCTTCACAACAGGACATGTACAGAACTCATTTAGAAAAATGTATCATATGCCACATGTGCCAGTGCCACTGTCTCCTTGCTATAAATAAATCATTTTCTTCACATTTATGGACAGGGAAAGAGCTTCCAAGTATCCTTTTCAGAAGACTGGCTTACTTACCTCTTACTTAGAAATTAAGTTCTATCAACCAAATACTGGTGAGGGCTCACCATAGAGCCCATCTAGTGGCAATGAAGGCAGGAAAGAAGGCCTACTTGGCTGCCTCCATTGCAGCCTCAGTAGGTCGTCCAGCAGAGCTCTTCCAGAGAGTGCAGGACCTCCTGCAGTCTGGCACAAAGGAAGTGCTTGTTTGCAAAGCATTTTAAGGATAGAATTGCTTGCATACACCAGGATCTTGACTTGGCTGTTATAGCAGATGAATCTCAAGGGGGGTCCAGAACACAGTCTAGTCCCATTATATTGGATGAATTTCAGTTAATAAGGCTTGAGGATGTAAACAAGCTGCTTGGATCAGTCAAGGCGACTACTTGTGCTCTGGACCCTTGTCCCTCAATCTCAACTCTCTCCTCTGTGCTCAAGTCAATCACTCACTACCAGCGCACCTGTCTTTATGAATCCCATGGGAAGCCAGAGCAAGGAGACACTAACAACTCTCTTAATCTATAGCACATGTTTATTGGCCCAACCCAACCCACCTGCGCAAGGCAGGCAACAAAAGCTGCTGCAACTCACACACAAGCCACCGGCAATTTCTCCTCCTAAACAAATGCAAAATGATTTATTTAAAAAAAAAACATTCTAGAAAGGGACTCACACTGTGGCCCCTAATGCACCCCCTTTCTAGCAAGGTCACAAAATAAATAATAAGCAAAAGAAAAAAGGACAAAGCTGCTTAGAACATGCTACAAGCTCTAAGTTAGTGTGGCTTGCAAGGAAGCACTCTGAACATGCTCAGAACAGTGGTAGGATTCTGAAAGGTCTGCAATACCAGCAGACCTACAAACAGGATGGAGGGAGAATCTGCAACACTAAGGTAAAGAAGTCTGCCGTTCTAGTGAAATATAATTTATCACATGGTTTTTCTGTCTGGTAATAGATGGGAGGGACCTCCTGGCGACAACAATATTTTTGAATTAGAATTGGTTGAGTGGTGCAGGCAGCTGGTTGGCAGGAAAATCTCTAGGAGTCTCTCTAAGCTGAAGGAAAGAAATGAGTATGTGGAGGACATGAAAGAATGTGACTTTGAGATTTTTGGGTAAACTTTATAAAAATGTGCTTGAAATTTTACTTGTAGAAATTATGGACTAATCTCCACTGATTAAACATATTTTGACTGACTAAAAAAAGGCATGCTTGACAAATCAAGCAACACAATTAAATAATGATTATGCACATGTAAAAACAAAACAAAACCCTGTGTATCATTTAAAACAAATGGGACAGACTATGATTCAGCAGGGGACGCGGGTGGCGCTGTGGGTAAAACCTCAGCACCTAGGACTTGCCGATCACATGGTCGGCGGTTCGAATCCCCGCGGCGGGGTGCGCTCCCGTAGTTCGGTCCCAGCGCCTGCCAACCTAGCAGTTCGAAAGCACCTTCGGGTGCAAGTAGATAAATAGGGACCGCTTACCAGCGGGAAGGTAAACGGCGTTCCGTGTGCTGCGCTGGCTCGCCAGATGCAGCTTGTCACGCTGGCCACGTGACCCGGAAGTGTCTCCGGACAGCGCTGGCCCCTGGCCTCTTAAGTGAGATGGGCGCACAACCCTAGAGTCTGGCAAGACTGGCCCGTACGGGCAGGGGTACCTTTACCTTTATGATTCAGCAGAGAGGCATGGACTTTTAAACATACTATACATTCTAAAGTTATACAGAATATTGGTTTCATCCCTCTGTTTTGGGATAATTTTATATTATGCACTTTCATAATCAGCCAAAGAAGAGATATCATCATGATCTCTACTCACACCTGTTACAAGCGTATTTTAAGTTTCACACTAAATATCACAGCACTCATTTTACAATTACAAACATATAATTTACTTCCAAGATCAGTGTTAGCAGTCTGCCATATGACTTGAAGTCCAGCTTGTTCAATTTTATGAATAAACTTACTCATTTTGGCAGAGTAATTTTGGCAGAGTAATCTCAGCTCTATTCAAACCCAGGATAACCCAGGGATCCCTGTAGCCCTAAGAACAACGGCACCTTTGTAAATGCTCACCCTAGAGTCATCTTATAGCAAGCTGTTTGAATATCCTGTCATGAATCAAAACTCCTACTTTAAACATTGAACTAAACAGAAATAGTTTAAAATAGGCTTCTACTTTTACAAAAATGCTATTTCTTGGGGGGAAATAAGTATATGTATGTACATTAATAACAACAACAATTGTATACCACCCTATACCCACAGACCTCAGGGTGTCTCACAACACAAAATCACAATACAAAAACATGTATATTACTATACAAATAGATTTTATCTAGTTCTCCTTGTTACATATTTATTTTACAGTTTCTGTTTGACCCTAACCCTAAACCAGGGGATTCCAAACTATCAAGTACACACCTGTTCTAGCTTCCAAGTAAGACTAAGGCTAGTGTTTTCCACAGTTTTAGTCCCAACGGGTTTGGGGTGGGGGTGGAAGTCATCTAAGAGGAAAATTAAGGCAGTGAGGTTATGTGTGTCTGCATCTCACTCCTACGGTGTGCTGCTACCAGCTCAATTCCAACAAACTATGATTAAGGAAACCTAACTTGGCTGCAGTGTGATATCTGATTTATTTATTTAATATTTATAGTCACTCTTATCAAACTTTGGATTCAGTGAATCCACACATAATCCCTTTTGTTGCTACTGGTGGAGTGGTGAGAACAGCAGGGCTGTCGATGGCTACAACAGGAAAACACAATTTTAAGGACAGATCTACCGTAAGCTGAAACACGGATCAGCAACACCCCACAGTCCAGGGGACACCCCAACCCCCCCATCACAGGATTTCACCCTCAAAAGTTGCCCTTACTGTTAAACAGATGTAAAATTTTACTTGAAAATTATCTATATTTCATACTTTTCAATATTTTAAGGTACGCCAACTAAATAGTGCTAACTTACCTTACATTGTTTAATATACTAATTTAAGCAGACCAAAGAGAGTAATTTTTATATCTTTATGACACCAGAGAGAGAGAGAGAGAAATCCATCAATTGTAGGGAAAGCGCACCCCGGGATAAAACTGCCCCTTGCAGAACCAAAAGGCATTAACTGCAGCCAAAGCAATAATCCCCCAGCACCACCTTCTGGAGCTGACAGTCTAAGGAGCAAAACCACCACAAAGAAGGGCCTCCCAACATCCCACTCAAGACAACCTATCCAGATACCATGGTCAACAATACTAAAAGCTGCTGAGAAATCTAAAAAAGGTTACACAACTGTTTAGGGTGCAAGCCTAATTCTACTTACCTGGCAGTAAGCCACACTGAATTCAAAAGGATTTACTTCTGAGTAGCCATGGTTAGGACTGCTTTTTAAGTCTTAAGTCAAAACTCCTGAAATAGCAGTTTGAACCTTTCTAAACTTCCAGTGCTTATTTAATGCTGCATTCATCCCTTTTTAAATGTGTTTGCAACACTTTCAGGAGTAAAAGAGGTATTGAATTCCTATTCCTAGATTAGAATACTCTTGAAATATGCATTAGAGTATAAACTATGAACAATAATAATGGTGGAAAGTTAATGGTTTAAAATGAAGTACTAAGCCAAGCCAAGGTATTTATTCATTGCTTCCCTCCCCCCAAGCCACTATTAAAAACTGAACCCAATGAGCCTGAAACAATTATTTTAGCACCCTCTAGTGAAAGTGACAATTTCACATAACTACTGAGGTTCCAGAAGAAACCAATAACTGTGAGTTTTAAAGATCTGTCAGCAAATTTCCAGAACTTCAAAACCAAATTCAGTGAATTGACAAACATGATCTAACACAGCTGCATTT